GCGCGCAACAGTCACGATGCTGAACCCCCACCACCCCACCCCCTCGTGCTGCAGCCCCGGTTCTGTTCGCCTGAACCATCTGGATTGATTAGATGTCGCTCATCATCACGGTTCTGATACGACCGACGTGTTTCGATAAAATCCACAGCTGGTGGTCAGAAGTTTCCATCCTCTCATCCTGTCTCATTGATTCACCGTCAATGATTTATTTGACCCCCTTTTTTTTGTCCGGGGGGTTGAAACGATTATACGACAAATAACTTCAACGATTTTTATCAACAAACGCCAAAGGCAATGATGTTTATGAAGTCAACCCAATTCAAGATGGCCGCCACAGCTAATCGATATTAGGCAACACAAAAACAGCTGTAACTCAAATTTACTGTAGCTGAGAGTGAGTGGAGTGACAGCTAATAGCAAAACTCTTTGTTAGCATATACACGCCTAAATGAGACTTGCAGTAGATTATTTTTATCCCATCTTCAACATAGACGTCTTTAAATTTTCATAAATTGGCACAAGTTGTCTAAAACATCACAGTGTGACAGGGCCGTAACTTTGAAAACGGTTAGCGAATCTATTAGCTTCTTGTAATTATTACATTTTGCTAACTTAATATCCTCTAATGGCTAACTAGCACAGGTACATATAGGTATAGATTAGGTATGATCTATACCCAATGTTGGGCATGGTCCTGTTGTTCAGCTAACAGCTAATAGCGGAATTAATTTTTCATTTAATAGACTAGCTTTGTCATGAAATTTGATAATCATTAGCAGAACGATTAGCTTTCATTAAATTAGGTTTTGTGAATTCTAAGTTTGCTAACAGCTAGCTAGCATAGCTATAAATAGGTAGGTATAAATTGTGTCCAAAACGGCAGGAGGGGTCCTCCGATGGCCGAATTCGTCGGCCGCATACGTCACAGCGCCGCGACGANAGGTATAGTCTATACCTATTAGCAGACCAGTTAGCTTCTTTATTAGGTTTTGTCAACTTTAAGTCCGCTAACAGCTAACTAGCTAACTAGCTAACTAAGTATGAATAGTTAAGTATAAATACTTACACACTAGGTATAGTCTATACCTAGTAGCAGACCCATTAGCTTCTTCTTTATTAGGTTTTGTCAACTTTAAGTCTGCTAACAGCTAACTAGCACAGGTATAAAAAGGTATAGGTAAAATCTATACCCAATGGTGGGCATGGTGACGCTAATCAGTTAATAGTTAATAGCTGAACTAAATTTTTGTTTAGTGGATTCTTTTTCATCAACTTTGAAAAACGTTAACAGATTAATTAGCTTTTGCTAAATTGGGTTGAAGTGTGCTAACAGCTAACTAGCCAACTAAGGATAAATAAATATTAATGGTTTTAGACTAGGTACAGTCTATACCTATTAGCGGACAAATTAGCTTCTACTTAATTAATTTTTTCTAAATTTGTCAGCTAAAGGCTAACTAGCACAGGTATAAATAGGTATAGTCTATACCCAGTGTTGGGCGTAGTTGTGCTAATTAGCTAACAGTGGTCAACTTTTTCATTTAACGGATTAGCTTTTCCACTCACTTTAAAAAAACATTATTGAAACTATTAGCTTCTTTTTACGTTGGGTTTTGCCAACTCTAAATCCACAAACGGTTAACT